CATTAATAATTGGGACATGGAAAGTATGAATTATTTAAAAAAAACAAATCCATCGCCGCCAACTCGATTCTGACACATAGCGACCCTACAGGACTGAGTAGAACTGCCCCACAGGGTTTCTAAGGAGTGGCTATTGGATTCAAAATGCCGACCTTTTGGTTAGCAGCCAAGCTCTTTAACCACTGCACCACCAGGGCTCCGGTATGAAGTATGAATCTAGCAAAATTGGAAGTCATCAAAAATGAAATAGAATGCATACAGATTGATATCCTAAGCATTAGTGAGCTGAAATGGACTGCTACTGGCCATTTTGAACCAGACAATCATATGGTCTACTGTGCTGAGAAGGAAAAATTGAAGAGGAATGGCATTGCATTCATCATCAAAAAGAATATTTCAAGATCTATTCTGAAGTACAATGCTGTCAGTGATAGGATAATAGCCATATGACTACAAGGAAGACCAGATAACACAACTACTATTTACATTTACGCACCAACTACTAATGCCAAAGATGAAGAAATTTAAGAATTTTACCAACTTCTGCAGTCTGAAACTGATCAAACATGTAATTAAGATGCATTGATAATTACTGGTGATTGGAATGTTAAATTGGAGAACAAAAAAGAAGGCTCGGCATTTGGAAAATATGGTCTTGGTGACAGAAATGATGCTGGAGATTGCATGACAGAATTTTGCAAGATCAACGACCTATTCATTGCAAATACCTTATTTTCAACAACATAAAACGGTGACTGTACACATGGACCTCTCTGGATGGAAAACACAGGAATCAAATTGACTACATCTGTGGAAAGAGACAATGGGGAAGTTCAATATCATCAGTCAGTACAAGGCCAGGGGCTGACTGTGGAACAGACCATCAACTGCTCCTATGCAAGTTCAAGTTGAAGCTGAAGAAAATTAAAGCAAGTCCACGAAAGCCAAAATATGACCTTGAATTTACAGACTATCTCAAGAATAGATCTGATACACTGAACACTAATGAACAGAGACAAGACGAGTTGTGGATTAATATCAAGGACATCATACATGAAGAAAGCAAAAGGTCATTAAAAAAGAAAGAAAAGACCAAAATGATTGTCAGAAGAGACTTTGAAACTTGCTGTTGAATGTTGAGTAACTAAAGCGAACATAAGATTTAAGTAAAATAGCTGAACAGATTTCAAAGGGCAGCTCGGGAAGACAAAGTAAAGTATTTTGATGACATGTGCAAAGACCTGGAGATAGAAAATCAAAAGGGAAGAAGATGCTCAGCATTTCTCAAGCTGAAAGAATTGAAAAAAAAATTGAAGCCTCGAGTTGCAATAGTGAAGGATTATATGGGGAAAATACTGAACGATGCAGGAAGCATCAAAAACAGATGGAAGGAATACAGAGTCACTGTACCAAAAAGAACTGGTTGATGTTCAACTATTTCAGGAGGTAGCATATGATCAAGAACCGATGGTATTGAAGGAAGAAGTCCAAGCTGCGCTGAAGGGAATGGCAAAAAAACAAGGTTCCAGGAATTAATGGGGTACTAACTGAGATATTTCAACAAACGTATGCAGCACTGGAGGTGCTCACTCGTCTGTCAAGAAATTTGGAAGAGAGCTTCCTGGCCAACCAACTAGAAGAGATCCATATTTGTGCCCATTCCAAAGAAAGCTGATCCAACAGGATGCAGAAATTGTCGAACAATATCATTAATGTTATGCGCAAGTAAAATTTTGCTGAAGATCATTCAAAAGCGGTTGCAGCAGTACATCGACAGGGAACTGCCACAAGTTCAAGCCGGATTCAGAAGAGGACATGGAACGAGGGATATCACTGCTGATGTCAGATGGATCTTGGCTGAAAGCAGAGAATACAAAATGTTTACCTGTGTTTTACTAACTATATAAAGGCATTTGACTGTGTGGACCATAACAAATTATGGGTAACATTGCGAAGAATGGGAATTCCAGAACACTTAATTGTTCTCATGTGGAACCTGTACATAGACCAAGAGGCAGTCGTCCGAACAGAACAAGCGGATAGTGCGTGGTTTAAACTTAGGAAAGGTGCGCATCAGCGTTGTATCCTTTCACCATACTTATTCACTCTGTATGCTGAGCAGATAAGCCAAGAAGCTGGACTATATGAAGGAGAACGTGGCGTCAGGATTGGAGGAAGACTCATTAACAACCTGTGATACGCAGATGACACAATCTTGCTTGCTGAAAGCAAAGAGGACTTCAAGCACTTAATGACAGAAGATCAAAGACTCAGCCTTCGGTAGAGATTACAACTCAACATAAAGAAAGCAAAAATCCTCACAAATGGACCAATAAGCAATATCATGATAAAAGGAGAAAATATCAAAGTTTTCAAGGATTTCATTTTACGTGGATCCACAATCAACACCCATGAAAGCAGCAGTCAAGAAATCAAATGACATATTGCACTGGGCGAAAATCTGCTGCAAAAGACCTCTTTAGAGTGTTGAAAAGCAAATATGTCACTTTGAAGACTAAGGTGCACCTGACCCAAGCCATGATATTTTCGATCGCCTCATATGCATGTGAAAGGTGGGACAACAACAAGGAAGACTGAAGAAGAATTTAGGCCTTTGAGTTATAGTGTTGGCAAAGATATTAAATATACCACAGGCTGCCAAAAGATCGGACAAGTCTGTCTTGGAATAAGTACAGCCAGAGTGTTCCTTGGAAGCGAGGATGGCAAGACTTCGTCTCACATACTTTGGACATGTTATCAGGAGGGACCAGTCCCTGCAGAAGGACATCATGCTTGGTAAAGTAGAGGGTCAGCGAAATAGAGGAAGATCCTCAACAAGATGGACTGACACAGTGGCAACGATGGGCTCAAGCATAGCAACAATTGTGAGGATGGCGCAGGATCAGGCAGTGTTTTGTTCCGTTGTACACGGGATTGCTATGAACCAAAACTGACTCGATGGCACCTAACAACAACATGCATGCTGAATGCAGAAACAACCCCTGTCGCTAGCCCTCTTCTTCCATGTGGCTCCCAGAAGACTGGCAGTTATATATATTTACCTTCCAAACAAGAGTTCAGAAGAGTCTTCTCAGGGGAATCTGATAGAACCTGGAGGAAAAATCTAAAGATACTGACAAGGGCACTCAGCCAAAATCACCTTACAGGGAAGTTCATTTAACAAGCTCCATCCATATTCTTAGACCTTCCAGGCAGCTTTCTAGTACCTTCTTCTTAAATGAACGTACAGGGATTACTAAACCTTTGTAGAATCAGAGACCAAAATAAGAGAAAAAAAGGGCTGTGGTGGTGGTAATTGGAGTAATTAAGACTATGCAGGATAAAGAAAGCTTAAAAAAAAATACCATGGAACAACAGAAAACTACAAAAAAAAAAAAAAACAGCCTTGGAAATTATAAACATGGACATAGCCATCTGAGATTAACTCCCAGAAAGTAGAAGATGAAAAATAGGAACCAAAGGATAAGAATATTAAAGGATCAGCCCAGAAGAGCCATCATTTGACTAATAGGAGTTCTAGAAAGCAAGATCAAAGAATATAGAGGGGAAGAAATCAATTAAACTATTCAAGAAAATTTCCCAGAACAGATGTATATGAGTTTCCAGACTGAAATGGCCTAGCACAATGAATGGAAATATACCAACGTCAACGCACATAATCGTGAACTTTCAGAGAACACAGAGAAGATTCTATGAACTTCCAAGAGGAAAAACAAGTCCTACAGAAAAAAATCAGAGAAATAACAATGTCTTTCAACTGCCGAAAGCAATACCAAAAGCTAGATGACAATGGAATAATGCTTTTAACATTGAGGAGAAATTTTTAATTTAGAATTCTATATCCAGCCAAATTATTAAGGTCTCAAATTTACCTCCAATATATCCTTTCTCAGTTAGCTGCTATAGAATGTGTTCCATCAAAACAGAGGTAATAATCCAAGTAAGAAAAAGATATGAGATATAGGAAACAAGAGATTCAACACATGACGAAGGTGAAGGGAAATCCCAGGATAACAGTGAACGTATACCTTAAGGTAACAGTCCTGAATCAGGTATAAGAGGGCAAATAATCTAAAGTGGAACAGGTCAGAAGGCTCTAGGAGAAATGAAATTGCTAAAATTCTTGTCATCTGGATGTTTTGAGACATTTAGACAATTGCTGGAGAGTCTGGGGTTGAATCAGTCCTAAGTGCATAGAAAACAAATCAAATTCAAGAAAGACCATTTTTAGCTCCAGAGGGTTAAAAGTACAAGAAAAGAAAACGAACCATAGTTTTCCTACTACACATTTCAGGTTGGAATGGCATACTTATTATAATGTAAACACAATATTGATCTTATGTGGATAGCAAGCCAACGAATCCTTTGGCAGACTGCGGCACAACCAATCATTTTTGGAGAACTGAAAACCCAGGGCCAGAAAGGAAAATTAAGAGAAACCCATAGCATCACACTCAGATAAGCTAATTTCTCCTTAAATTGTAATTAGCCTAAAAATAATAGTAATATTCATTAGAACCTACCAATAATCCACATGTTTTGTCCCACACTATCAGTGTTACAAAGGGGTACCTCTATTAACTGTACTAAAGTAACAGCTTTGGGTTCAAATACTCCAAACTAATGGATGGAACTTACACAAGCCAGGTTAACTGCTTACTGCAATTCCATAAACCTAGAGGTGAATAAACTATATATGTTTAAAAACTTGGCTAATATTCTTCCAACTTGCAGATTTTATCTTGACACATAATTAAACACAAATTAGCTTGATATCACATGGGTGGATTTATTTTTTAAGATTCAAGTGCAAACTTAAAAACAAAGCTTTCCATCCAGAATAAACACAAAAGTCTAGTTAACAACCCTGCAATCGTGCATTTAAAGAGAGTACAAATATGAATACACTCTAATTTTTAACTACATTTGAAAATTAAAACATTTCTCTCCAAATCCAAAATACCACACAATCTTTAACCTGTTCTCATTTAATTACCTTAGAAATATTTGTCATATGCTATCAGGAAAATATAGGCAAGGATTATTAATCAGTTTCTACGCTTGAAGAAACATTACTCTCCTTAACTTCTGACTTTTTGAACCATTCAGCTGTATTTCAGCTCTGATAAACCATACAATTACACTTCCGCTCTAGAAAATAAAAATGAATAAAAATATCAAGGAGGTAAAAAGATACATTTCATGTAATTAAAGCAAAAGTCACAAGTGTTGGACTTACAAATGTACATATTTGTAGTAAATATTTTAGATACAACTTTATTTGATGGCTGACATGTTGTAATAATATTTAACAGTGAACGATTTAAACAGGTATAAAAATGTGAGATCAAAATCTTTATGCTCAAAAACTTGAAAAGTACGATGAATATGGAAAGATTTCTGTGTACATAAACATGTATTTTTTTAGATGAAAAATCAGGGGGTAGTGGCATCTCCCTGGTCCCTTAATAGTATTTGGATTTTCGCAAAGAATTAGCAGCACCCAACCTTAAGTGTTAGTTACGTGTTTCTAAAGGACCTATACAACAGATTAGTTGGCAGTGTTCTAGCTATTGGGAGATGGGGTAGGTGGGGTGTAGGATGTCTGGCGGTGGCTAGGGATGCAAACATCTGAGACAAGATAGTAATGCATGCACTCACACATTTAAAATCACCATTCCAAAAGGAAAGAAAAATCACATATTGGAAAAGTCTAAGAAGATTATCCTGAAAGGATAAACAAACAGTGGGCCAGGAACAGTAGAAGCTTAATAGTAGTCTATTTGATAATAATGGTTTTTCACTCCTCAAAGGCAAGTTGGGAAGAATGAGAATATTCATAGACATAACTTCAGTGAAAACTTGCCTACAATTTTACATGGCAGAACACTGAACAGAAATCTTTACAAAAACCTTCATTCTTGTATATAATAATACCAGATGACTTTTTTCCTTTTTACCACCATATACATAACATTTAAATATTTTCTTTATAAATATTTTAGAGCAAAAAGAATTAATTTTGTTGCAGTGGTGGCCCACATCTGTACAAAGCAAGGTAAGCAACACACACACACATATATATGTATATATATATGTGTGTGTGTATATATATATGTATATATATATGTATGTGTATATATATATATATATATAAAATGATTAAGAAAAAAGTGCAAAGAATGACAGTATTAAGAATTTTTGCTTTTTACAGTAACTATGATTTAAGTGTGACTATTTATCAGGGATATATAATCCCAGATTTTAAAGATTCAAAAAGAAAGGCACACTCCAAGTTACTGCACAAATATCAGTCCCTTATCAAGTAACTCTTCCCTTCTCCCAAATCTAACATTTCCAGTTTCTAAACTCTTCATAAACAGGAAAAAAGTGATAACACTGTTATCTACCCTTTAACTTCCCAAAACTCACTCAAGTTAATCAATCACTCATAGGTTCAAACAAGATACTAGGGAAGTCATTCATCATAACCCGCTTTGCTAAAATTAAAGCAAAATAAAAGGATTTCTGAAATGCAAAGTACTGATTGAGAATCAAATCAGCAACAGCAAACAGATCTTAAATGCCACCTGTAATTTAATGCAAGTGCATTACAAAACTAATCCCTGCTATCAAAGACAAATTCAGAGTCTACATCTCTTTTCCAAGTTCAGTGCTTTGCAAGGGTCACAATTCCAAATACTTAAGATTTCATCACTTACTAAAACAGAGAAAATTCTTCCTGTTTAATTTTGTTTAACTTTCTATCATTTTACTCTTGGTCTCAGGCTTTCATTTTGAACAAACAGAGAAGACAATTTTCTCCATCAAAAAAAAAAAAAAGTACTTTTCTCTTTAAAATAATTATAGTTGCTGATTTTAGGCCCCAGAGTTTCAATAAAGCAGTTCAATTTTCCTTTAAATATATTACTAGGTATTATTTGGTGTGTATATGTTGTTTTATTCTTACTTTAGGCACTGTAATTATTCACAATATTGCAATGATTCTATGTCTAATTTATGCCACAATTATGACTTGTAAAGTGGTTTCCAAGGTATTATTTGATTCTGTATATTACAATACAACTGAATTTCCCTTTCAAGATAAATAGTTGGAAGAGAATTTTAAAGCCCTGCAGCACTCCTGCTTTGCGTAGTGTTAATAAACCTTTTCTGTCATGCTTAATATGTAAGCTTCTTCTGAAATAGGAAGACAATAGATGTTGGAAGCTGCAAATTTCATCAAACTACATTCTACTCCAACTCCAATTTATTTTGCTCAACATTAAATATTTTTCTTTAAGGAAACAAGTATATCTTAGGCTAAATTTTAAAAACAGAACTGTTCTAAAATTAATAACACAGCTAACAGGAAATCACTTTTCAATTTCAGCATCACTAGAACTACACATAACTAAGTAGACTCAACAACTAATTTAATCAGTTTTGGTTTTTTGTTTTATTACCATATCTTTAGGACGATATACCTACATTCTAACAGAGAACTCAACAAAGGCTTAAAACTCTGGAACTGAAACCCACCAGGCCACCTCCTGCACAACCGTAAACAAGAGAGCTGCATTTCATTTGCCCCCATACATTCGCTCAATGTCTTTGAGGTAATGATTCTTCAGTTCCTTCCTTTTCAGCTTGAAAGCATCAGTTACCAAACCAGTTTCAGGGGTCCATGGTTCTGGGCTTAAGCGGACCTTGATTGGAATTTCAAATCGCTCCAATTTCACTGAAATGAAATGGAAAAAAAAAAAAGAGAGAGAGAAAGAAAAATGACTCATAAATTAAATGAATTTTGCAGGGCTTACCTAGATGATACAGGTGACGAGGCAAACTTATTTAATGATATATTAAACAGTTTATTAACGATACCATATTACTTTATAATTTCATTTTGTATCTCTTAAAGTATACATAAATTGGAGCCCGGGTGGCACAGTGGTTAAGTGATACAGCTGCTCACCAAAAGGTCGGCAGTTCAGATCTACCAGCCACTCCTTGGAAACCCTATGGAGCAGTTCCACTCTGTCCTCTAGGGTCGCTATGAGCCGGAATTGACTACCCAGCAAGGATTCCCTGGCAATGGGTTTATACGGTTTCATTCTCAGTAGGGAACTTGTTAGAAATGCAGAGGTTTGAACCACAACAAACTGGTTCGAAGCCCTGCATATACAACTACCTGCTGGAGATTTTAACTTTGATTATCCAACAGGCATTTCAAATAACTTGTGTCCCAAATTGAACTCATCATCTTCTAGTATAAGTTTGCTCTTCCTCTTGCACTTCCTAGCTTAATTAAAATCTACCTTGTGGTTTGAGCTATAAATTTGGGGGTTCATCCTTGACACCTCCTTCTGCCTTACCTATACTGCCCAATTAATCATCAAAGCTTGCCAATTTTGCTTCCTAAATATTTCTTGAATCTACCACTTCCCTGGTTCAGGCTCTTATCACCCCATCTAAACTTCTACTACAGTCTCCTGCTTCAGTCCTGTCTCCCTCCAATGCAGCTTCAGCATGGCCTCCAGAGTGAATGGAGTGATCTGAAATGCAAATCTGACCCTATCAATAACTTGCTAAAACCTGTCAATGACTCCCCACTGCCTATAGGGTTAAGTCCAAATTTCTGAACATGGCACACAAGTCACTACATGGCTTGGCCTCTGCTTACCTCTACAGCCTCTTGCACTTTGCACTTCACTAGTGACACCAAACTCCCTGTAGTTTCCTACACACACCATCTTTTCCACACCCTTGTGCCTTTATTCTGTTGCTCCTCAACCTAGAATAGAATGCCCTCCCTAGTTTACTTCTAGTCAACCTTTAAAAAGGAGCTTAGGTGACAGCTCCAAAGGAAATCTCCCATGACCTCCCAGGTAGGGTTAGGTAACCTCCTCTGTGGTACCATGATTCTTTGATCATATCTTGATTGCCGTCCCTGCGTGTATCCTTCTTACTAGACAATGAGCTCCCTGAAGGCAAGAAATGGGTCTTACTACCTTGTGTATTCCTAGTGCCTAATATAATGACTGGTACATAGTATATACTCAGATCTCCAATTGGCTGAATTAATTCACCATCTAAGACAGTCTATTTACAGAGCCAAAGTATATCCCGTTGCCGTCAAGTCGATTCCGACTCATAGCAACCCTATAGGACAGAGTAAAACTGCTCCATAGGGTTTCCAAGGCTGTAATCTTTATTGAAGCAGAATGCCGCATCTCTCTCCCTCGTAGTGGCTGAGGGCTCGAATCGCTGACCTTTCAGTTAGCAGCAAAATGCTTAACCACTGCACCACCAGGGCTCCTCCCAAAGTATATACACAAAGTACAATCATAATTATGACATTATTCATTAAAGAGTTATTAGTTGCTACATTACAGATATAAGGTAGGACCTTCCTAACAGAGGAGCCCTGGTGGCACAGCGGTTAAGAGCTCGGCTGCTAACCAAAGGGTCGGCGTTGAAATCCACCAGCCACTCCTTGGAAACCCTATGGGGCAATTCTAATCTGTCCCATAGGGTCGCTATGAGTCGGAATCGACTCAACGGCACCTAACATCAACATAACTGAATTTCTTCTACGAATGACAGATCTATCTAAAGATGGGCCTTGGGGAGCTGTAAATTCCATTCAAAACACAGGCTAGATGACCACTTGGCAGGGATTTTGCAACACGGAATTAAGAACTTGATAGGTTACTCTACTATATGACACTTAAAGATATGTCCAACACGGAAATTCATGATATCTAGATAATATATATAACAGGTTTTTTTTTTAAACCCTGTATTTTATTATTAAAATAACCAATCAACCAGCTAACCAAACACCTTGAAGAGCCTAATGCACAAGACATCATTAAATGACTTTTAGGGACTTCAACAGAGAAGCAATTTTTTACTTACTGGTATTTGCAGCTTCTCTAATTTCTTTCAGTATTTCAGCTTCCATGGCAGGGTTATTGCAGATATCAACCCAAGTTCCTTCTACCCCTTTCTGTTGTGCTAAAAGAGTCAACCTTTTCTGATTAGGAACCACAAAACTGATCACATAGGACTGGTCACTAAAAATTTAGAAAAGAAAACAAAATAGAAATTAAAACATGGAGAACAATTATTCATAAATTACTCATTGAAATAGTACATAAAGATAATTCCAAATATATCTTTCTCTTATTTGTTAAAGGTAAAAAGTAATAAAGCCCATAAAAATAAAATATATTGATGTATAAAGAAATGAGTTCAATCTCTCAGGCCCTTAACTTAGAAAAACTTGTGTTCAAAACTCATCTGGCTGTGTTACCTTCTTGGGAAAATTACTTATGCTCAGCCTCAGTTATGGATATTAAATGAAATAATTTTTGTAGCACAACTAAGTATTTAAGGAGCCCTGGTCGCATGATGGTGAAGCACTTGGCTGCTAACCAAAAGGTCAGCAGTTCAAACTCACCAGTGCTCCACAGGAGAAAAGACCCATAAAGATTACAGCCTAGAAAACCCTATGGGGCAGTTCTACTCTGTCATATAGGGTTACTATGAGTCAGAATGGACTTGACTGCACACAGAAACAACAACAACAAGCTAAGTATTTAGCAAGACATAGTAGGTGTCCAATAAGTAGTTAAGATGTCTGGATTATCCCAAATGATATTAAAGCTATTGAATTCAAGAACTTTCAGAAATGTACAACATTTCCCAACTCTGATGAAATTTCTAAGTAGAGTTTGATGTTACCCTTAAGATTATATATAATCAAACCATTTTCTAACAACCCTTTTACTGTTAAGTATATGAAATATAAAATGCAATTTTTGAAAGTTACCTTTTGGCAAAAGCACAGATATTGTCAATAAGTGGACAGTTCTTCAGTGCAGCCTCTACTTTTCCGAGAGATACATATTCTCCTGCCTGTAACTTTACCAGATCTTTCTTACGATCTATAAATCATGAAGAAGGTTGTTACCCATAGTCCATTTTATTAATGTGTACACAATTCTGATTTTCTTTGGATCTCTTTGCCTTTTTTTTTACAAAGACACTTATTTTGAAATCTTGTTCTACATAATGTTTGCTCACAACCATCAGTTAAAAAGAAAATACCTAGTTAAAGAAGTACTGGCTAAAATGACACACCCTAAGGAGCCCTGGTAGCGCAGTGGTTAAAGTGAAAGGTAGGCAGTTCAAACCCACCAGCTGCTCAGCAGGAGAAAGACATGGCAGTCTGCTTCTGAAAAAAATTTACAGCCTTGGAGACCCTATAGGGCAATTCTACTCTGTCCTACAGGATCACTATGAGTCAGAATCAACTGGATGGCAACAAGATACCCAAACCTTTAACATCTTAAAAATTATAATCTTAAACACTATATTGCAGTTAACAGAAGGAACAGAGACTTTTGGAGCATTAGATTTGAATGGTAGCTCTGCCTGCACAAACAACCCTTGATTGCAGGGCAATTAAGGATCAAGGAAAAAAAGGCTTATTGGTTCTTCCTAGAAATTTCTCCAGATCAAACTTCTAAATGGGCCTTAGAAACAACTTTCCCAGGGAATTGCTAACTATATTCAGATCAGATACTGTGAGGTCCAGTACTAGATTGAAATAGGTCACTAGAGATATGACGGAAGAAACGTTATGGCTTGAAAAGGACCTGACTGAGATCCTTCAGATAAGGACCTCATACCTTATCAGCGAGGCAGTTTTTAACTTTTGTCTGATTAACGTGAACCACTTAAGGGCCCGTTTTGGAGTTGCTTTTTTTAACTTGCTGGTAGACTCTACTTTAGTTGGCTCAATAAGGGTGATGCAAAGCAACTGACATTCTCAGAAGATCAGATTAGTGTTGAGGATTGATATCATCCTTTTCTACTGGTCAAGGCTAGTTAGAGCCATATAAGCGGCCATCAGGAACAAAATATGCCCATGCCGCCCCTTGGGTGGGAAGGTAAACTGACCATATGGGTTGTGTGAGACAAGAGTAACATGAAGAGGGTGAAGAAGGCCTAGAATAGAGTTTGTTACAGTAGACGATTACACAGAACCACATGTAGTTGACTAAAAATACTTTTCTGAGCTCTTTCCCTTTTCTCATTATCAACTTGCTATTTTCCTGTCCATTCCCCCAATCCCAATGCTGCTGCTATTGTTGTTGCCACTGCTGCTACTACTTACTAAGGTTCAGGTGTTATTCTAAACATTTTAGATATAGCAACTCATTTAATTCTCAAAAGAATCTTCTGAGGTTGGTATTGCTATCTATATTTTACAGACGGGGAAGCTGAGATATAATTAACTTGCCCAGAGTTTGAACCAATGGAACCGTCCACCCTATTAATGGCCTGATGAATATTACCTTTCATATGTGTTGAAGATGCAAGTTTACAAAAACAAAAAAAAAGAATACACTGACCAATAATCTGTAAGCATCCATCAGGATGAAATTCTCCAATATCACCAGTGCAAAACCACCTTTGTCCATTTTCATCCACACAATAGTCCTCTGCTGTTTTCTCTTCATTTTTAAAATATCCCATGGAGATATTCTGTCCGCCAATTACGATTTCTCCTCTGGGATTTGGCTTGTCGTGAACTGTATAACCACCTGGAAATCATAAAAGTAAACCAGTTATGGTTCTAAAACAAAATTGTCTTTCATTAATTCTTAAAGCTCCTTTGCTACTATCTTTCTGATGGTCAAATTTTATATCAATTTATCTGAGAATATTAGCTTATATTTACTCAGATTTACGTGAGGATAGTGGGTGGCTGCTTGTTTGGTGTGATTTCAGGAGTGTCAGGGAAGGTTCAACAATAATCATCACTACCAACCACCCGAGAAGCCCTGGTGGCACAGTGGTTAAAAACACTTGGCTGCTAACCTAAAGGTTGGCGGTTCAAACCCAAGAGCAGCTCTGTGGGAAAAAGATGTGGCAGTCTCCTTTTGTAAAGATTCACAGCCTTGAAAACGCTATGGTGCAGTTCTACTGTGTCCTATAGGTTTGCTATGAGTCGGAATTGATTCGACGGCGGTGGGTTTTTGGTTTACCAACCACCTATTCCAAATCTTCCCATGACCATGAGGCTGAGAAATAAAACTCACACTTAGAACACCATCAAGCGTTGTTGTTGTTAGGTGCCGTTGAGTTGGTGCCGATTCATAGCCACCCTATAGGGGCTTTACATAACTCTTAAGGTAAAATTACCCCCAACAAGGGTAATACTTGAAGCTGTTATAAGTAAATTACCAATAGGTTGATATCAATGCATTTCAGATTATTTCTAGTAGTATGTGCCTGAAAACGGCAACACCATTAAGTGATAGAAAGAGACTAGGGGAAACAAGAGGGCCATTATATATTCTTAGTTTCTGCCCATGGCCTGTCATGACTTTAAAACACTGAAATAATAGACAATAACTATTATGATTATTTTATCATTTCCTCTTTATTACTGAATAAAGCTTACTTTAAGGAAAATATACCAAAATCTGAATTTCTAAATTGAGATATTGATTAGATATATTGATTAGATCTTGTATCATAAAATGATTAAAAGAGCTCCTTCCAACTGTTAGCTGCTCTTATAAATTTAAAACTACTCAACATTTCAATGTAAAAAGTCCACTGTATGCAAAGTATTAAGATCATTCCTATTGCATGAAGCAAAAGATCCTTCATAGTAATTAAAAGGTCCAAAATGGACCTGCTCCCAAAAACTGACAGTAAAACACAACACCAGAAATTCTCATCATGTTTTACTATAAATGTCTCTGACTCCACTGCCCAAAAAATAACCCATATTATAAAACAATTCTGATGCTGATACCCAATACACAGAATTCTACCCATATTTTCTTTAGATTTTCATTATAAAATTAGAAAGACAGTACCATGGGTGAAAAGAGGAGGAAGATTTAGTCCCAAGATATAAAACTCTCAGGAATGCAATTGACTTTTAAATGTGACTTTTAAAAGAAATCGTAGTTTGCTCATAGAGCATTGGCAACAATGCATATAAAAAGAGTCACAAAGTAGATACACTTTTAGAAACTTAAAGTTTATGTCAAATAAAATCCATTCATTTTCTCACAGTTTGAACAACCTAAGGGATAGGTCCTCTGAGGCAACTGGTCCTTTACACTTTCAGTCCATGGTTCTACCCCAAGGTAAATATTCTCTTTCAAATCTTAAGCTTTTTAACAACTCCTCCTTTATCTGGCATGGCTAGGCTGTTAATTATTTGTTTATTTAACAATATATTTTATTGCAACAAATGTATTTACTTAGTAACTTTGATAAGTTCATTATAGGAAGATTGGTTTATTTTGCCTTTCACTGATTTGTAAAAGGGATTATCACCACCACCAATTGCAATGTGAAATATGGGTTTTTTCTGAGTGGCTCATTTCTGCAGTAAAATATCAAAGGTCACCTATTTATACATATATATTTACCACAATAAAAAAAGGAAAAAAAAGTCAACTATTTAAATAGCTGGACAGTTGAGTCTCAACTATGAAAATGTCTGTGAGGTCAAGATCAAAGAAGTTTGTGTGTGTGTGTGTGTGTGTGTGTGTGTGTGTGTGTGTGTGTGTGTGTGTGTGTGTGTGTGTGTGTGTTTTAATCGATCACTCCGTCCCTTGAAAATTCAAGGTTTCACTTCCCAACCCAAACATCCACACTAGCAAAGTAGAGCTTGCAAGGATAGGGAAAAATATCTCATGTTCTGCAAACCTACAGAAAGCCCACCCACTAAGTTTTTCCTCTTTACCAAGTATTCCCAAGTTCAGAATCATTTTACCCAGATCTGATAGATTTTCCTTTCCTCTTGGTAACGTAAAGACAGAGTTTTACTGAGGAAAAAGCAAGCACAGGAAACAAGCAATGGCAAAGAATCATTTGCTACCTCAGACAACCCAGCATTTTCAAGAAATGTTAGTCTTGAGACTCACAGCGGTTTTCAGTATATCTAGAATCACTAGAGCTTGTCATAAAATTCTTACCTTCCTGCCAGTCTTTTAGTTTAATTTCACAACAAATAAGAGGGGCTCCAACTCGACCAGTAGTATAGTCAGTAACTATGAGGGAAAATGAAGCAAAGATATTAGCATACCACATTTAAAATCAGCACCAACGTCTCTGAGACCAAGAATATTGGCATGAGTCAGAGTGTGAAGGATGACAAAAAAAGAGGCGATAGCGAGACAGTGCAAAGTGTAATCATTTTTCAACTGATTAATGTTATATCATTTTTGCTTCTCATGATTATATTTTAGATAATTAAGTATGAAAATCTGTGTTAAAAAGAGAGCTGGCTCCACCATTATCTACCTAGGATTCTGACAAGACAGACTTTGACTGGAATTTCAGCTCTACCACTTACTGGCTGTGTAACTTAGGCAAGTTCCTTAACCTATGTAAGCCTCAATTTTCTCATGTACCAAATGGGGACAGTAACAGAACCTACTTCATATAGGCATATTCTGTGAGGATTAAATGAGATAATACATAGACAGTGCTTAACATTTCCTGGCACAAACTAAATGTTCAATCAATGTTAGCTGCTATTATTAAACATAATGATGATAATGATATTATCGTTTTGAAATGTGATTATTGCCAGCACTAGTCAAGTATTTATCGATAGCTATTACATACCTAGCACCATATTAAATATTGTGAAGAAAATGTATAAAAGATAAGAAGGAGACCCTGCCTTCAATGAGCTTACACACAAACTACCTGGAAAGAAATGCACATGAAAATTACTTAGAGAACATTTAAATATTAAATTACATGGTATGGTAAGCACAATAGCACCTTAAAAACAGAAAGATCAATGTAAAAAGTAGTTGGGAAAGACTTTATCAAAGAGCTGGGCCTTAAAGAATGGTTGTAAACGGTTAGCAAGGAGGGCCTTCCAGGAGAAGGGAACAAAAAATGCAGATTGAGGGCCTTCCAGCCAACATGACGCTATAGGCAGAAGCACCATGCCATCCCTCCACAGCAAAGATGCAAAAAACTAAGCCAAACAGGAAAATGGCAATCCTGAAACCCTAAGCATCAAATGAAGAGATAAAGAACTCAGTCAAGCACCAAATGTAGTAAGAAACTGACAGAGAACAGAGAGCGAGGAGAGATACATGCAGAGGTCCCCTATCAGCTAATGCAGCACAGATCCGCTATCTTGGACTCCTATCAGAGACCAGCAAACAGGGGGTATGAGAAAGCAGCTTCATGGAGTTTCCAGCAGGAGACAGAACAATCGGTAACCAGCGATGTACGCTTTCCTACCCCCACCCTTCTTCACCCCTACTTGGCCTCCTCTGCTTCCTGAGGCCAGTCTCTTGGCTGGGAAGCATTGGCTTCACCCCAGTGTCACTTGGATTCCACCTGCCCGCACTGGCCGGCTCCCTAAGTGCCATTTGTTGGCTGCTGCTGTTGCTTTTTTCCGCTCTTTAGATTTCTTCCTTACCTGTCACCACTTCCCCCTCCTTTCTCTCAAATACCTGGCTCCATGCGCCATCTTTATTTCTTCCTCAAAGCCTGTGAAATGTCCCTTGAATGTGAGACTGCTTCCCTGTACATGCTGCCACGCTGGTGGGATCCCGGCGCTTTTTTTTTCATTGTTTGTTTGTCTGTTTTCTTTTCCTATTCTCAAATTGGGAGCCCGTTCTAGCTGGGCAGTACTGCACGGCTTGGGACCTACCCCCTCAGTTTGTGCAGGCATGCAGAGGGATCACTAAGGACATTTCTTTATACATTTTGGTGGGGGGGTTCTTGTTCTTTCTTAAAAATTTGTTTGTTTTCTTTTCCGTCTTTTTTCCCTTTTTGTATTTCTTCATTACTCAGTTTCTTGTCTCGCTATCCTTTCCTTCACTTCCTGTCCCCTGAAAACATGGCGCTGAGTGACACCTCTACACCTTCTAGCCAGGCTGTACTTCACGGCTTGTGAGCAACTTCCCCAGACCTCGTACCCACACCAGTGGGATCCCTGAGAGCTTTGCTCTTCTTTTTTCTTTCTAATTTTTATTTATTCATGTTTTCTTTTCTTTTCTTTTTTTTCTTCTCTCCTTTTTGTTTTTCTCCATTTCATAGTCTCTCATCTCTCCACTCCAACAGCAAGCTCCCCTAGGACTCTTTTTTGTTTGTTTCTATGTTTCTGACTCTGTTCCTTTCTCCTCTCTCCCATACCCATCTTAGCTCCACACATCAAAATCTGCCCCCTCCATCCTGCCTACCTGCACCGTGTGCTGAAAATCACACCACCAAGCAACCCAGGCACAGCCTACTGGAACCTGCCCTGCATTGATTACCAGCCTGCACTGGTGGCCGAAGTAAGTGCCACAAACCCATCCTAGCTAGACCTGCCCTGCTGTACCATATCTGAGCGAGTGACACTGCCAACTGGAGAAGGAGGCGAAAAGTGTCGTACCCACAGATGAGCAAATAACAAAGAACACACAGCCCGCCTGCTCAGACATAGCCAAATAAAACAAAAAAACTGGACAAAACAAACAAATCTACCATCAGTAAATGAGAAAAATAACTACCAAATGCCCCAAAGACAGCAGATAATATCAAAACATATACAAAAACAGGACAGGATGGTTCCAGCAGGCGTTCAAAATAAAACACCAGATGACTTTCCAGTACAAGAAAAGGTGCCAGAACTACCTGATAGGGAATTTAAATATCTAATATTCAGAGCTATCCAAGAGTTAAAGCAAAAATCAGACAATGAGGACAAAATAGACAAATTCATGGAAAAGGCAGACAAATTCATGGAAAATACAGACAAAAAATGGAAGAATTCAGGAAAATAATACAGGAACAAAATGCCAAAATAAATTCACAACCAGAAATCATACAAAAATAACAACTAGATATACAAAAGATAAACAACAAGATTTCAGAAATGGACAGTGTCATACAAGGGCTGAGGAGCAGATTTGAAAAGGTGGAAGACAGGATCAGCGGAATTGAATACGAACACTTGGATACAACTCTGTCTGAGGAAAAATCAGAAGAAAGAATGAAGAAAAATGTAGAGACCCTGAGAATTATGTGGGATACAATCAAAAGCAAAAATTTTCGAGTGATTGGAGTTCCAGAACGGGGGAGAAAACAGAAAACACAGAGAGGATCATTGAAGAACTGCTGACAGAAAACTTCCCCAATATCATGAAAGATGAAAAGCTGCCCATCCAAGAAGCTCAACGAACCCCATATAGGATAGATCCCAAAAGAAAATCACCAAGGCATAACATAATGACACTCACCAAAACCAAAGACAAACAAAGGATCCTGAGAGCAGCTTGACAAAAAACAAGAAGTCACATACAGAGGAGAAACAATAAGACTAAGCTCAGATTATTCGGCAGAAACCATGCAGGCAAGAAGGCAATGGGATGGCATATATAAAATCTTGAAAGAAAAAAATTGCCAGCCAAGAAAAATATGTCCTGCAAAACTCTCATTCAAATATGATGGTGAAATTAGGTCATTTCCAGATAAACAGAAATTAAGGGAATATGTAAAAACCAAAACAAACTTGCAAGAATATTAAAGGGAGTCCTTCGATCTGAGAACAAACAACTTCAGCTCACGGGCTGAATCTAGGACGCAAGATCGTACCAGCCAGATACCAATCTAGGAAATGAACTCTCAAGGACTATCCAAAATGAAAAGAAATACAACAGGGAATCAGAACAGTTAATCTATAAATGACAATAACATCAGAACAATAAAAGAGTTAATAAATGGTGTAGGTATATAACCTTCTAATGGAGAGAGAAAGGCAAGGCAATACCAAGTAATAATAGACTGCTTCAAACTTAGAAAGATAAGGGTAAAATTCATGGTAACCACAAAGAAAGTTAACAAACCTACTCATCAAAATAAAGAGGAAAAACATAAAGTCTCAGTAAAAACAAAAACAAAAGAAATGAAAAAAAATCCACAAACAAAAGGAATTCAGCAGAGGAGAGAAAGAGGAATAAAGAAAATATCAGCACCACAAAACAAAGCACTACAAAATGACAGCAATAAACTCAGACCTATCAATAATTACACTGACTGCAACTGGCCTAAATGCACCCATAAAGAGACAGAGAGTGACAGAATGGATTAAAAAAAACAGGATCCATCAATATGCTGTCTACAAGAGACATACCTTAGAAACAAAGACATAAATTTATGAAAAATCAAAGGTTGGAAAAAAATATATCAAGCAAACAACTACCAAAAAAGAGCAGGAGTGTCAACACTAATCTCAGATAAAATAGATTTTGAAACAAAATCCACCATAAAAGACAAAGAAGGATGCTATATAAAGATTAAGGGGACGATCCATAATGAAGACATAACCATAATAAACATCTATGCACCCAAAGACAGGGCTCCAAAATACATAAACTCTAACAGCAGCACTGAAAAGAGAAGTTGACAGTTACACAATAATAGTAGGAGACTTCAACACACCACTCTTGGTAAAGGACAGAACATCTAAAAAGAAACTCAGCAAAGATACAGAAGACCTAAAGGGCACAATCAGCCAACTTGGCCTCACAGACATATATAGAACATTCCATCCTACAGCTGCAAAGTATACATTCTTTTCCAATGCACATAGAACGTTCTCCAGAATGAGACCACAACTCAGGACACAGACCAATCCTCAACACCATCCAAAATGTTTAGATAATACAAAGTATCTTCTCTGACCACAATGCCATCAAGGTAGAAATTAACAACAGACAGAGCAAGGAAAAGAATCAATTATATGGAAACTGAATAACACCCTGCTTACAAACCACAGGGTAATAGAAGAAATCAGAGATGGAATCAAAAAATTCCTAGAATCAAACGAGAATGAAAACACATCATACCAAAACTTTTGGGACACAGCAAAGGCAGTCCTCAAGGGACAATTTATAGCAATAGATGCACCCATCAAAACAGCAGAAAGGGATAAAATCAAAACATTAACTACACAACTCAAACAAATAGAAAGAGAACAGCAAAAAAAGCCCACAGCCACTAGAAGAAAGGAAATAATAAAGATCAGAGCAGAAATAAATGAAATAGAGAATAGAAAAGCAACAGAAAGAATCAACAAAACCAAAAGTTGGTTCTTTGAAAGAATCAACAAAATTGACAAACCACTGGCCAGACTGACAAAAGAAAAACAGGTGAGGATGCAAATAAGCCAAATAAGAAATGAAATGGAGGACAATACAACAGACTCAACTGAAATAAAAAGGATCATAACAGAGTATTATGAAAAACTATACTCCAACAAATTTGAAAACCTAGAGGAAATGGATAAACTTCTAGAAACACACTACCTACCCAAACTATCACAAAGCGATGTTGAAAATCTGAACAGACCCATAACAAGAGTAGAGATTGAAAAGGTAATAAAAAAAACTCCCAACCAAAAAAAGTCCTGGCCCAGATGCCTTCACTTTTGAATTCTACCAAACATTCAGAGAAGAGCTTGTACCAGTACTACTCAAACTATTTCAGAACATAGAAAAGGAAGCAACCCTTCTGAATTCATTCTATGAAGCCAGCATAACCCTAATACCAAAACCAGGCAAAGAGGCCACAAAAAAAAGAAAATTACAGACCAATATCTCTCATGATTTAAGCTGAAAGTGAGATAAACCAAAAAAAAAAAAAAAAATTCCTACAGCCCAGTGGTTCTCAAACCGGGGTGGTAATATCTGAAGATAGGTTTCATTGTCACAACAGGCATCTGGCTGCTAAACATCCTATAATGCACAGGACAGCCCCCAACAACAAAGAACTATCTGGTTCAAAATTTCCAGACCGCCAAGGTTGCAGAAATCCTGCTATAGGTTATTGAGAATAAAAGAAGAGAAAGCAAGCAAGATGTAGATTCAAGAGGTTGCATAAAAGTGATACCTGATCCCAAGAGTGCAGTTTTTTAAGGAAGTGATCATTAAGAAAGAGAAGATTAAAGAACCAAGGAGACAGAATTTTGAGGACTGCCACTGTGGTATAAATAATTACAAAGATTAAAAATAAAGAGCATGCATGATACTCTCATTTAAAGCCCACAAAACTAAAATTATGTAGGTGTGCATACAATCTGATATTACTCAAGAGGCTGAATACAGTTACCGTGGTTTCCAAAGGTCATGCAAAGGGATTTTAATAGTTGCAGCCAATGTAGATTATCTGCCACTTTAAAAATGCTTACCTTCAGTAACTGTCCCAGCACCGCATGATTCTGTCAATCCATAACCCTGGCCCACTGGGCAGCAGAAGCAGACATTCATGAACCGTTGTGTCTGAGGAGACAGTGGTGCTCCGCCAGACAGCATCATACGGATATTCCCTCCTAGCAGAGCTTTCACCTTTTTAAACAGTATCCTTGATAAAAAGGGGAATAAATGACCTTAATGCATGCACGCATTATTCTTGCCAACATGCTAATTTATAAGCTCTGGGAAGGATTTCTCAACTTTGTTTCAACATCTAAATTTCAGAATCATGCTGATAATGAGGTTAACAAAGCAACAACTAGTAACACCGTGAAAAATGCCAGAAAAGTTCTTAAAAATGCAGGAAATGTGCAGCGTCTGGAAATTGCTGTGACACACAATAAATGAAAGAAAATGACGTTAAAAAAAAGAAAATTTAAAGTTACCTTTGGAACATGCAATCACCTGTCTTATCTTCCTTCCAATGAAAAATACTTCCCCGTCCCCTAGTACCACATTTAAAATAACATACCCATACACTTACTATGCTGTTTTGCGAATATGAAAAATCAGAAACCTTCATGTACAATAAATCGTGAAGTAAAACTCACTTTTTTTAAAGTTAGAAATAACACTGTTTTTTAACTCAAATGCCTTACTTCAACGATCTATTCTAGTTTATCTTCCTGAGATCAAATTTTATAATCAAATCTTAAATATTTACTAATTTAGACTGCCATTTACTTATTCATCTTCCAGATTTAAAAACACATGAAGATTTAAAGGCTCAAACTACAGAGCCTATGAAATGTACTTACAGATTGCAAAGAGGTGCATCATATCCTTTTTTGATCTGTTCCAATTTGTAATCATACCCTATTTTGAACAGAGTTTTCTGAATATAGTTCATCTCTTGGACTTTGCTCATAACATTCTTATAAATTCTATCCATGATTTCCTAAAAGGTAAGCAAAATATTTAATAATCTGAAAATAACTATGCCAGCACTGAGAGAGTCTTTACTTGAAGTTACCTTATTTTTTACATTTCAGGTAAAAGTTTTTATTATAATGGACATAATTATTTCCTTTAGTATATAATTCATTTCACTAAATTTACTTGTTCACTATTTCAAAAAGACTTAAAAAAGTATAGATGTTTTTTCAGTTCTATATACTAAACTTATCTAAAATTTTACGAAATGTTCAACCAGAGTATATAAAATTTACTCAGCTCTCACAGAAAAAGAACTTTAAAATTTTTTTCTCTTATCTCAAATATATGTATCTCAAACACTACTGAACATTACTCAAATATGCTGATGCTTTTCTCTTTATTACTACTACCATGCGACTGTTTTAGTCTGGAAGCTCAGGAAGAAGGGCCCAGCAGTCTACTTCTGAAAAGAATTAGCCAATGAAAAACCTTATGAATAGCAGTGGAACATTGTCTGATATAGTGTCGGAAGATGAGTCCCTCAGGTTGGGAGGCACTCAAAATACGACTGGGGAAGAGCTGCCTCCTTAGAGTTGACCTTAATGACGTGGATGGAGTCAACCTTTTGGGACCTTCATTTGCTGATGTGGCATGACTCAAAATGAGAAGAAACAGCTGAAAACATCCATTAATAATTGGAATGTGGAATGTATGAAGTATGAATCTAGGAAAACTGGAAATAATCAAAAATGAAATGGAACGCATAAACATCGAAATTCCAGGCATTAGTGAACTGAAATGGACTCGTATTGGACATTTTGAATGGGACAATCATATGGTCTATTATGCCGGGAATGACAACTTGAAGAGGGATGGCATTGCATTCATAGTCAAAGGAACATTTCAAGATCTATCCTAACGTACAACACTATCAGTGATAGAATAATATCCATACACTACAAGGAAGGCCAGTTAATACGACTATTATTCAAATTTACGCACCAATCACTAAGGCCAAAGATGAAGAAACTGAAGATATTTACCAGCTATCTGCAGTCTGAAATTGATCGAACGTGCAATCAGGATACATTGATAATTACTGGTGATTGGAATGCGAAAGTTGGAAACAAAGAATTGGTAGTTGGAAAATAATGGCCTTGATGATAGAAACCATGCCGGACATTGCGTGATAGAATTTTGTAAGACCAACAAATTCTTCATTGCAAATATCTTTTTTCACCAACATAAACAGCGACTATACACATGGAACTCACCAGATGGAATACACAGGAATCAAATCGACTACATCTGTGGAAACAGATGATGGAAAACCTCAATATCATCAGTCAGAATAAGGCCAGGGGCCAACTGTGGAACAGACCATCAATTGCTCACGTGCAGGTTCAAGCTGAAACTGAATAAAATTAGAACAAGACCACGAGAGCCAAAGTACGACCTTGAGTATATCTCACCTGAATTTAAAGACCATCTCAAGAATAGATTTGGCACGTTGAACACTAATGACCGAAGATCAGACGGGTTGTAGAATGACATCAAGGACATCATACATGAAGAAAGCAAGAGGTCATTAAAATGACAGGAAAGAAAGAAAAGACCAAAATGGATGTCAGAAGAGACTCTGAAACTTGCTCTTGAACATCAAGTGCTAAAGGAAAGAAAGAAATGATGAAGGAAAAGAACTGAACAGAAAGTTTCAAAGGGCGGCTTGAGAAGACAAAGTAAAGTATTATAATGACACGTACAAAGAGCTGGAGATAGAAAACCAAAAGGGAAGAACACGCTGGGCATTTCTCAAGCTGAAAGAACTGAAGAAAAAACTGAAGGCTTGATTGCAATAGTGAAGGATTCTATGGGGAAAATATTAAATGATGCAGGAAGCATCAAAAGAAGATGGAAGGAATACACAGTCATTATACCAAAAAGAACTGATTGATGTTCAGCCATTTCAAGAGGCAGCAAATGATCAGGAACCAACGGTACTGAAGGAAGAAGTCCAAGCTGCACTGAAGGCATTGGTGAAAAACAAGGCTCCAGGAATTGATGGAATATGAATTGAGATGTTTCAACAAACTGATGCAGCGCTGGAAGTGCTCACTCGTCTATGCCAAGAAGTTTGGAAGACGGCTACCTGGCTGACTGACTGGAAGAGAGCCATATTTATGCCTATTCCAAAGAAAGGTGATCCAACACAGAAATTATCGAACAGTATCATTAATATCACATGCAAGTAAAATTTTGCTGAAGATCATTCAAAAGCGGCTACAGCAGGATATCGACAGGGAAATGCCAGAAATTCTGGCTGGATTCAGAAGAGGATGTGGAATCAGGGATATCATTGCTGATGTCAGATGGATTCTGGCTGAAAGCAGAGAATACCAGAAAGATGTTTACCTGTGTTTTTTTGACTATGATAAGTCATTCGACTGTGTGGATCATAAAAAATTATGGATAACATTGCAAAGAATGGGAATTCCAGAACACTTAATTGTGCTCATGAGGAACCTGTATATAGATCAAGAGGAAGTTGTTCAGACAGAACAAGGGGATACTTTGCAGTTTAAAGTCAGGAAAGGTGTGCGTCAGGGTTGTATCCTTTCACCATACCTATTCAATCTGTATGCTGAGCAGACAATCTGAGCAGCTGGACTATATGAGGAAGAACGGGGCATCAGGTTGGAGGAAGACTCATTAACAACCTGCATTATGCAGATAACACAACCTTGCTTGCTGAAAGTGAAGAGGACTTGACACACTTACTGATGAAGATCAAAGAGCACAGCCTTCAGTATGGATTACACCTCAACATAAAGAAAACAAAAATCCTCACAACTGGATCAATAAGCAACAT